TATTATATTTTAGTAATAGGCTCAAATAACTTTGAGATTTTTTTTGGGAGGGAGGCTATGACTTTAGTCCATATATTGAAATATATATCATTATGTTATATTTTACCTATTATATTCTAATCTGAAGTATGGCTCATATAAGGTATACACAAATATTATATTATCATATACCTATGAACTGTAAAATGTGGATGTATTGTTTTTCAACAAATTTGAAGCCAACTACTAATTTACATTTACACGTTGATTTCCGCTCAGTGCCCGAAGAATGTTGGTTGAATAAAACACATCTATATATAGGTCACAGTATTCAAACGTAAGCAGTAATTAATATTATATATTTGTAAAAGTATTATGACTATCAATCATTATATAGTTAAAATAACATTAGAACAGAGATGTTAATATCTGTAGACTGCAACTAAGTGTAATTTTATAACCTAGACAAGACATCTGTGAGAAGCAATAAGGGTATCGAGCACAATAAATTGTTTTTGAAACAAGTCCGCGTGAGAGTCAAACCAAGATATCCCCTAACAAGAACTATTAAAACTTTCAATATTTCGTCTGTAAAGTCTTGAAATGAATTTATCGATTGATATTGGAAATAATATTATTTCCTGATGATAACCCAAAAATATGCAACAAAGTTTCATTCCCAAAATATGTATGGTTGTTATTCAGATGTATATAGGAGGATTAGAGGTTTACCTCTCTTAACCCTCCCCCCCCCTTAAATTAAACTGAAAATGTGCTTCCGATGGAATCAGATGCGTTTGGGTGTTTATGCTGAGTGTATGCAAGATCATGAGGTTTCAAATCAAACCGATTTCATAGACCAAATTTTGCTTCACATTGTATGAATGCATTTAGTTGAAGGTTAAGAGTTTGAAATATGCATATAGGTAGTGATGTAGTGTATGTTTTGAACGTTTTTGTGTGCGTCAGTGCATAGTTCGTTATATTTTTCATCATCCTGTCAACATCACATTTAGGTATATACTTAGCAGTTAGCATCTTTTTAGTGGATTTATAATTCCGGGCTCTGTATAATAAACGTCTTATCACTTTAAGTTATAATATCATTTATCGCGTAATATAATATAGGTAAACGACGTTCGTTGACGGCTGCGGACGAAGTCGGTCAAACACAACCCTTATAATATAAGTAGTAAGTGCCTATATATGCCTATTGCCTTATATATATATATATATTATTGCAAAAATACTTGGAGCGTTAGAAATCCGTTATTACTACGATACAATATATACATAATAAAATATAATATATATTATAGTGTGAGGCGGCGTCCGTCTGGTTAAAATAATAATAATAATAATACGTCCCCTCTGCGCGGCGTGCACCGGTCAACACCGCGGGCCCCATTGTGCGTAAGCGTACGTGTGTGCGTGCGGGCACGGCGCCCGTGTGTGTGAATGCGAAAAATCAATACCGCCCCCGCGCCGCACCTTTGGCCCTTGCCGGACGAGATGACCATTCGACGGCGGAGGCTGCTTTGTATATAATATAAGCACACTGCACATAATGCACGATATAGTATACATATTATATTATAGGTAGGTACCTCGCTGTATACGCGCGTACATTATATTATAGTATTATATATGTGTGTAACGTCAACATCTGTTGAAATGACCCAGTTGTCGTATATATCCGGCGGTGTATGTATATATATAAACATATAAGTACGCGGGGGTGGTGGCGCGAATAGCAATAAAATGGGGAAAAAATAAAATAAATAACATTTCGCATATTATACCGTGCATATAACGACTCTTGTCGGGCGTCTATTATTATTACCGTCCTCGTCGTCGTTATAATATTATTATGTGCATAGGTACTATGCTGCAGAGGTGTGAGCGAGTATTATATATATATATTTATACATTATACATAATATTATAGTCCATCGCGTTGAAATGACCGTTGCATTGTCGTGTCGAATAATACGCATATTATATGTGGGACGTATATGTATATGCAAGATACGAGTGCAATTAGAATATGACGGGTTGCTGCATTATGTGTGTTCGACTACCCCCGGCCGTAACACAAAAGCCACTGATGAAGGGCTCTCGATTATATTATTATCACGTGTTATAATATGTATGTATAAGGTGTGGGCGAAACAAATTTCCCTCTCGCGCTGTTGCAGGGTTGTATGGACGAAACGTCGAGGCGAGTCCGGAGGGAGTGAGTCTTTGAAAAAGCGAAATTTGACGGTCGCGCTTTGCATTTCCCGATTATCGGTACCCAAAAGTGAGCGTCTATGTGTATATGATATCGTGTCCGGAGTACACATATTATCATTATATATAATATTATCATGCAAACGGAAACGACCGCGGTGTACTCGGAAGGGAAAATTCGAATGTCATTAAAATAAAGCGTCGCGAAGAAATCACTTCGGCATGACGACGATATTCAATATAGTAATAACATATTGATTAAATATTATTGATAGTATAAAAAACTTTAATCGACGGTAAAAAATATAGAGTTGTAGTACAATATATTGTCGCGGGTTCGCCCAAGTCAACGTGTATATACGATATACCTCGCCAAAAAAATAGTGACACCGAGTTCGACCGACTTGTCTCCATTGAGCTATACAATAATAATATACTTATTATTCTCGTCTGTGCTTACGGTCGTCCAACTGCAGTTGTAACTTGTAGCCTTTTGGTGCAGGTCCCGAGATTTGGTGCGCGGATGAGATGGTACCTATAAATATAATATTTTAATTATTTATCCATCTTCGGTCGCATGATACGATCGTATTATAATATGGTTTTGTACAATAATATTGCAGCGGTCGCACGAATTTGCCAACAACTTTTTTTATTTCGGTAATAGGTACCTGACAACGGTTATATAGGTTCCACGACTAAATACGACCGATATGTCTTCGTCCTAAATATTTATGAACTCAAGCCTACAGCTTATTTACTCGCACGCACACGCTTACCCAGCGTCATTGGTGCACCGAAATAGACGACTATAAAAGTATCACACACTATACACACATACTGTGGCACGAACGAACTCGACCGGCTTTATATTATTAGAGCGATGTGCAAGTAGGGCTGCTTTCGCACACTACCGCGGGGACTTCGCAAAAGGGATTTTATCGTTGTTTTTATATAATAGTATAATAGTTTCTAAAGCGACACGTTCAACGGATCCGTTGGCTTTATTTTCGATAGTTTTTATCGCTCTACAATTATATACGGCCATATAAGTATAGGTATAGGATTATAGCGATATTTAAATAATGAAATGTCGAAATTTTGCAAAAATATTTGTAGATTTTATTTTTAATCAATGCTTTTTTTGAAAGTCTAGCACAGTTCAATAAAAAAAGTATGTATATTACATATAAAAGATATAATTTAGCTTATATGAATAAAGTTAACGATGTACCCATATAGTAATAACTATAATAAGCTATAACTACACTTATTGTATTGACTTAGACTAAAAAGTAATAAAAAATGTTACTATGACTTTTACATGCCATACTGTTTTACACCATTGTATTAATACCTACTAAAGTTTAGTTTAGTAACTAAACCATTGATTTGAAGATTTTAATTTAATTAAGATTTTTAATATTGGATACTTATTTGTATGTTACATATTTTATAATAAATACCAAAGACAGGTATAAAAGCTTAATAATTTATTTCAGAGATGTGCTGTACTTAATCAATGGTTATAAATGTATAAGTATAGAATATGAGTTCATAAGTATATGATACCTAATGAATGTGTATATCATCCAATTAGTGACTTCAGTATTATTATTTATAAAAATTAGGTAGCTACGTGAGCGATTCGTAGTAAGAACGAATTTATTGACGCGAGGAATATAATACTACTACGAAACATTTTTAAGACTGCTGGATTATTTTTCATTTAAGTATATAATAATAATTGCTAATTACTTCAAACGTTGGAAATAAATTTCAGATTTTTAAGCCATAATATAGACGCGTAAGCAGTTACTATATTTATCGATATTATGTAACAAAAATAATTATAAAAGTAACTACCCATATCGTGCAGTTATTCCTACAATTAACGATAATATATTGCGAGATTTTAAATAGAGGTCCTCGCCTATACGGTAAAGTCAAACTTATACTTAAAATTAACGACGTGCTTAAATGGTCTGTACTATATCGAGCACGGACGAAGGAAGGCCGTCGTTCATCAAAGTATATAGAATTTAAAATAGGCGATATATAACTTTAAACGGAAGTTCAACGTCTCTGCAAGCTCGAAAAACGTATAAAGGTATAATAGGAAGTCGGGAAAAAAATACAATAATGAAACGGAATAATATTTGTACTCCAAATACCTGCTGCAGCGACGCGCACGTATAATAAATATATTGTATTATATTATTATATTATGTATAAAAAAAAAAGAAAAAATGCCGAGCGTATAAATAAAAAAAATAACGTAAAATAAGGAAAAAAAAAGCGAAGGAGAAAACCTTAAAAAGCCGCGCGGCCAAACGGAAGTCCGATTTAAAGAACTAGGCGTGTCCTTTCGGGGAGACAGGAGATGCAAGAAAAAATCCGTACCCGCGCGAAAAGTTACAAGGGCCGCCGGGCGTGGGCGGGAAGGGCGATCGTAAGAGGTAGTGTGAGGGGGAGGGGGGGCTCGAAAGTTTTGCAAATCCGTACGCGCACACGTCCGACGGGGACGGAGTGGAAAATCGTCGTCGTCGCCTCCGACGGAAATGCCCGCGAACAGCGCTCGCGGAACACCGGCGCGCACACGCACGCGGGGCGTGTTCCGATTGGTCCCGCCGCCCGTCATGCCCCCTCGGACGGCCCCACCAGTACCTGTGTGTGTAAGCGGTTCCCCCCTCCAACCCATCGGAACCGAAGCGGTGGCGTCGGTGGAGGTGGTGTGGCGGCGGCGGTACCCGACGACGTCGACGGCGACGACTGAATGAGACGACACCGCGCGCCGCCTTCATATAGTCATACGCACCGGTCAAACGTACACGGTCGTTCCGCGTGCGGTTATCGTCCGTTTTTTTTTGGGTTTTTTTCCGTTTTTTATTTTCCATATTTTTTAAAAACAAATAAATTCATCTTCGCACCCCATAGTGGAAACCCAAAAAAAATCGTCGTCGTGAGACAGTGCCCGTGTCGAGTATTATTGTATACGATATTATTAATAATAATATCGCGTTATTATTAGGATCGTCGTTGTCACCTATATATCAATATTACATACACCTTATATTTATATAATTGCTGTATAATATACGCGCAGTGATAATATTATTATTAATTTTTTTATTATAATCGCAATTGTGCCGTTGCCGAGACACATTCTCCGTGCGAGCATCCGTCGCGCGCGCGAGTTCGTCCGTGTTTCCGTCCGTCCGTTAAGCTGGAGGGCTTACCCGCAGTGGCCGGCGGAGAGGGGCTGAGGCTGGCCACGGCCACCAGCGCCCAGTACCGTCGAGTCGACGACGAGTCAAAGCTCGCGCACAAGTTCCACCCGGCCGGGTTCGAATTCTACCGGAACCTGCACAAGTTCCACAACCTGAACAACAACAACAACCACAGCAGTAAGAACAATAACAACAACGACTCGCCGCCCTCAGAGAAGGCGGCTGCCGCGGCCGCTGCAGCCGCGGCCATGATCCTGCAACAGCACCACCGGATCGGCGGTCTGCTGGCCGGACGGCGGTCGTCGTCATGCGACGTCACCGCCGCCACAGCCGCGGCCACGGACCAGCAGCCGCTCGATCTCAGCTCGCTGTCCGTGCCCAAGTACAACAACGGTGGCCGGGCGCATCCGTACTTTGCGCACCACCACCACAACAGCCATCACAACCGGGTGGCCGGCGGACACCAGCCGTCGTCCGCAAAGTCGACGGTGCCATCGCCGCCCCCGATGGCCCTGATGCGCGCCGTCCACGCGGCCGTTGGTTCGTCGTCCGACGACGATGACGACGACGACGACAACGAAGACGACGAAGACGACGAACGCGGAAGCATCGGCGGCAGGAGGAGTCGTGGCGATCAGTCGTCGCCGCTGCCGCCGCCCACGCCCAACGAAAACGGTAAGGCTCGACATAATATTATGATATCGACCTGCTCGATTGTACATTTTTTATAATATTCGAAAGTGTTTCCAGTGCTTGAATTGAGAGGGACAAGGGGACTACGAAATCCCTCTTATTTTTATAAAATATTTATGCGTGTCCCTTCGAATTAAATCCCAATAATCAATAAGGCATTTAAATATTCAATTACCCACAATTTTTTTTTACACTGCACCCCCTTTCTTTTTTGTTCCCAATTCAAGTACTGAGTATTCCTCGCCGTTATCGTTGCGTCTTTATGAATTTTCAGAAAATTATATATTTTAATATACGTATTGTAAGTACCTACATATTTATCCACTTTTTTTGGACCCTAGGCAACCGCCTATCCCGCACACCTGTCAATAATTATTTCGTATAAGCAAATTTACGATCGACTTTACGCCATATTCGGAATGGTCGTCGCACGTCTTTTACGATATTTTGAACGAGAGCACTTCGACGATATTATTATAATTAGCGATCATTTAGATACGACATGTCAATTAGTCATGGCTTAATGGTTTATATCGATAATCCGATGCCCACAGGTCTGTCTGGATAGTTATTTCCGGTCAATGAATAATATCATCATGTTTTCCCGAATTCGTCAATCGCTTTTACAGTTTTACGTCATAGTAGGCATAATATTATAATCATAATTATACACCGTAGTCGTGGTAATATGATGAGATACCTGTTCGATTATGATATGAGATGCAACGAAACAATTGGCTGTTACCTAATTATCTCTGCAACTGTGTCCTTTTTAATTAAACAATTATTATTATAACATACTATTATTGTATTCCTTCTAAACGCGCCTGCAAGGACATGTAATTTCATAATAATTATTGGAAATCGTTATGGAAAATTATGCATTAGAATCGACTGATATTTATGCCGGTTGATATTCTGTATAATATTTTTCCCACAACCTCTTTATCTCCAACTCGACAGTCATATTATGCAATGATTAATAATGTTGTATACTAGTTCTTCGACGACTTAATTTTGGAAACGAATTCAATGGGAATTTGGGTGTATACTATGCACTTGCACTATTACATTCTATTGAATAATCCGATAAAGAATGCGCAAACTGCCGTTTGATCCTGGTGAAAATTAAATTAAATAGGTACTTAAGATTAAAAAAAATTGCATTTCGCAGAAATTATATATTTACGAGATACGGGTTTGAATGTAATCATTGCAAGCCCGTCTACGTTTCCCAAATTCAAGATACAAAATTAGAATAATATACCTAAACGAGATTGATAGATTATTTGAGACGGCACGTGTACGTAAACTGTGAAATTACGATTAGATTTGATATGACGTTAGAAAATTAATTTACTCTTGGCCTTAAATTAAAACTAATAATATTATTTTTAAAACTTCTTATATATAAGGGATAGGAACATTGAGATCCAATTAATTAAATAATACTCAATTTATTTTCATATAATAAATTAATAACAACGTAATTTATAAATAATATTTTTTGAGCGTAATGTTACATTTTTTTTATCGAATTTCCTTTTTATGCATAATTAAATTACGTAGGTAAATTATTTTAAATTATTTCGTAACCTTAAAGTATATAAAAACAGGATATATTATTTATTTTTATATTATAACTTAAATGTATCAAATAAATTGATTGATTAAACATCTTAATATGATTTTTTTATAATATGAATAAATATAAAATATATAAACCATTAATATTAGTGCGTATATTAGTTGATAGTTTGTTAACTTCATAATAATTAATAACCATTGTATTATTACCTTTTGAATGTGCATTTGATTTCTTGAAATATTAGTTAAATCTGAATGCATACACTTATTTCTTAATGCAGTCAAACATATTTTATGAAGCATAATGATTTAATGTATAGCCGTAAAGATATATGCATATTATTATATATTTATATTTAATGTTGTATATTTTTAATATCTTCTATAAAAAAATAAATAAAATAGGAATCAGTCCTGTTTACGTATTTTATATAATTAGTTTGATCATTATAATTCATAATCTATACAACAAAACAGTACTATTTCACTTATAAAACAGTTTTGTATATGATATAACATTTCTTTAGTTTAATTATTATTCAAATTTTGTCCGAGGCAGTTAAAAATCTCATTAATTACCATGTTTCTTTATGTTATACCATCATATTTATTTGCATTTCATGTATGAGTTATTACTTTACGGTTCACCTGTTTTCATTTTATCATTATAAATTCTTATGTAGATACACACACAGGAAAATAGGTAATTATATGCATTTTTATCTCGTGCGCAGATTGTGTGAATTACAAACATCCATCATAAAATAATCTTGCACATATCGTATTTAAATCCATGAAATGCGTTCTTATTATAATAGAAACGAATAATATAGTTGTTATACTACAAAACAATAAAAAAAAAATATATATATGTTTATTTTTCGCTCATGTTCTTTAACGCGATTCTCAGTAAAAACTAGAAAATATAATATAATTGCGAAACGAACAAAGCCCGCGTGTGCAATACGTGTAGCTTCAGTTTCGCTCCGTTTTTTTTTATTTTCGTTTCATCGGGCAACGTTTCCTACAAATTATAAAACTATTAAACTCTACTTATATTATACTTGTGGGCCCGGTTTACATTTTACGTGGTTATCGCTATATTATGTTTATAAGTAGGTACCCGGTTATATTACTATAGTGGTTATGAATTCCGTCTAAGACATAATTATTGTAATTTATAGGCGTATAATAAAATGTTGAATTATTGCAGTTAGCTAGGTACACTACGCGGGTGTACAGCATTTTAAAAAAACGCCACCCGAGAGGAATTTATACTAATTGCCAATCGCAATTACCACAGGTTAACCGCGTTGGTGACCGTTAACATCGTAATATCAAATCGATTAACCGTATTATCGAAGCTGGTTTTTTTGAAAATTTTCAGATAGTTTTCCTGTAGTTTCCACGCAATGAAAATTACACTGGAGTGACTTATTTTTTGAAGACCACGGTCCACGGTCGTGCTCTAATAAGGAAACGAAATTTAAATGTCATAAACCATCAGTATTAATGTATCGGAATAAAAACAGATATTTGGGCTCTGTAATACTAACAATTTCAATCGAAAATTGTATTAATTACTATGTCTGTTGGGAATACATGGTTTTTCAAACCGGCCAACCACTATTTAGTTTCTGTATATGGTGAGCTTTTTACAAATCACGTACATATATTTTGTACCGGGTACCGCTTAGGCGGAGATCCTGTAAAATGTTCGGAGGTGAGGGTTTATTCTCCCGTCTTACCGTTACAATATTTTACTTTTTTATAGTACTGCTTGTTATGATAACAAAACCGACCAAACTGAACAGAATAAATAAAATATTTTGCGGAACTAGAACATTACTTTTTTTTAAACTACCGTCTTCCATAGATTATGGTATAGTTCGTGTACCTACTAAAACCATTAAACTACCAAGATGATTTGATTTTTTGTCTAAAGATACATATCTCTTTTGATGAATTTTATAAAAACGTGTAAGTACACAGAATGAAAAAGAAGAAGAAATAAATATCAATTTAAAACCAATAGAGCCCTGCACTCAGAATCTAAAATAATAGTATGCGTAAATTTAACTTAGACGTGCAAAATATTTCAAAATAATCAAATATTTAATTATTGTAGCTTCGACTTCGAATTAATTATATGGGAGGCTAAGCCGTAACCCCCTCCGCCTGATCTTGGGCTACCGCAGTTTGTATTCATTACAAAATTGTCATGAGATACAGTGCTATAATATAATAACCCGCGAGATAGACGCGAAGGAGCCATAATATTACTATAATCCTTTTAGGTACAACTGTATTTTACTATTTATATATTATATAAGTGCATCCCTGGTCACGAGCTCGTATCGATGATAATGTATCGCACGCGTCCTTTCCGTGTGTAGGTCTATACCCCTTTCGGTATACCTATGGTACGATTGCAGCACCGCGGACGGAGAGCGGATAAAAAAAAAAAGGAAAGAGGTATAGGTAACACAAGTATAGTTATCCGGAAGGGTCGCGCCTCCTGGTTTTTTTTTCCCCCGTTTTGTTTTCCGACGGCTCGCGTCCGCGTAACCCCATCCGGCATCCACCCCCCCATCATCATCATCATCACCGCCGACGACGACGTCGTCATCCCCGTGCGCCGTCGGTTAGGTCTGCGGGTCCGAATCCCGTGCGCGGATTGTACGGTGTAACGGGTTGGGCACGAGGGCTACTTTGTTCGGGAGGGCACACTTCCGCGTCCCCCGCCCGCCCGGCGGTGTAGTACCCATTATTATTGTTACTTTATATCGCTCGCGCGCGCCGTGTAATATTTACACGGTGACTCTCGGGCCGGCGGTCGTGCCCGTGCGCCGCCGCCGCGTCCCCCGGACAGATGTTTATAATAATGGTACCTATACATAATGCACACACCGTCGTCGTGTGTCTACCTCGGCTCGAGCGAGGCTCGTAAATTCCCCCGCTCGAGCCAAAACTATAAAATAATAATAATAATACAATATCCTACCAAAAAAACAATAACGATTAAAAAATAAAACAGCGCGCGTGTCGGCGTTTTTCTAGAGACAATCGGACGAGAAAACCGAACGTCCCGTCGAGTGTAATATGAAAACAAAAATTCACACACACACACACACATACAGGTTTGATCCATCCAGCAGTGGACCTGAATTATGCGCGAGCGTTGAATTTAGTAAAACTACGTTTTTGACCCTCCTAGGGTGTAAACGAAAAAGTATTACATATTATTAGATTTTTCGGTTTTCGTTTAGTTTTTTGTCCGACAGAATTATCGGCCTACAATAATATATCAACATTACACAGTATTAGTAACAGTGTTATCAGTTATCACCTACAAGTTGAACTTTGTGGATTTGGGAATCGCGTGTAACTGCCAT